AAAAAAAAAAAAAAAGAAAAAAACAATAAAGAAACAATTATACTCAGAGGGATAACTTGATGGAAAAAGGAAAAAAAAGAAACAATTAATAGTGTTAATTATGGACTGAGTACCACATCATTTATGAAACATCTTATAAAGAGCCATTAAGTAATTTAGAAAAACAGGGAGAACTCACTCAATCACCAGAATTATACCAATTCAATTTGCTTTCACCCCTAAAGTTAGGATTTACTTTTACATCTATACCAATATTGCCAGCATTTACCTAATGAGGGTAACCACCTAACATTTTAATTCTATAAATGTACAAAAAGCATTGCACTGGGAGCCATGAGACATAGTCTTAGCTTTGTCTCTCATTTATAAGCTTATTAACTCCTTAATCTAAGACATAAGATCCTAAAGTAAAAAAATTTTTTTTTTTTCTTGAGACGGAGTCTCGCACTGTTGCCCAGGCTGTAGTGCAGCGGTATGATCTCGGCTCACTGCAATCTCCACCTCCTGGATTCAAGCAATTCTCCTGCCTCAGCCTCCTGAGTAGCTGGGACTACAGGCATGCACCACCACACCCAGCTAATTTTTTTGTATTTTTAGTAGAGACAGGGTTTCATCATGTTAGCTAGGATGGTCTTGACCTCGTGAACTTGTGATCCATCCGCCTCAGCCTCCCAAAGTACTGGGATTACAGGCGTGAGCCACCTCACCCGGCCAGATCAGGTGTTCTTAACCTGGAGTCATAAACCTGGCACTGGGACCGATGCATAAGCTTTTGCAAGATTACGAAGACTCAGAAATTCCAAGACAGTCTTGCTCTATCACCCAGGCTGGAGTGCAGTGGCATTATCTCGGCTCACTGCAACCTCTGCTTCCTGAGTTCCAGCGATTCTCTTGCCTCAGCCTCCCTTGTAGCTGGGATTACAAGCACAAGCCGCCATGCCTGGCTAATTTTTTGTATTTTAGTAGAGACGGGGTTTCACTATGTTACCCAGGCTGGTCTCAAACTCCTGAGCTCAGGCAATCCTCCTGCCTCCACCTCCCAAAGTGTTGGGATTACAGGTGTGAGTCACTGCACCCACCCTTTATTTTATTTATTTATTTATTTTTCTGAGATGGAGTCTCGCTCTGTCGCCCAGGTGGCTGGAGTGCAGTGGCATGATCTCATCTCACTGCAACCTCTGTCTCCTGAGTTCTGCAAGCAATTCTCCTGCCTCAGCCTCCTGAGTAGCTGTGATTACAGGCACCAGCCACCACGCACAGCTAATTTTTGTATTTTTAGTAGAGACGTGGTTTCACCATGTTGGCCAAGATGGTCTTGAACTCCTGACCTCAAGTGATCCACCCACCTCGGCCTCCTAAAGTGTTGGGATTACAGGCACGAGCCACCGCGCCCAGCCAAGTTTTGTCTACGTTTCTACATGCACTGTTCCGGAGAGAGGTTCTATAGCTCTCAAAAGATTCTCAAAAAGAGCCAAAATTCACCTGCCCCACCCCCATGATTGAACCATTTTAATCAGGATAATTTTTACTTACAAAAACAAAAGTTGATGTCAAATAGTACGGTTGTGGCCGGGCGTGGTGGCTCACACCTGTAATCCAAGCACTTTGGAGGCCAAGGTGGGCGGATCACCTGAGGTTGGGAGTTCAAGACCAGCCTGACCTATATGGTGAAACCCTGTCTTTAAAAAAAAAAAAAGTATGGTTGTATGGATCTAGTCAGGCTAGTATTTATTTTTTATTTTTTACTTTTCTTGAGACAGAGTATCATTTTCACCCAGGGTGGAATGCAGTGGTATGATCTCGGCTCACTGCAACCTCAGCCTCCCAGGTTGATGCAATTCTCCTGTCTCAGCCTCCCAAGTAGCTGGGACTACAGGTGTGTGCCACCACACTCAGCTAATACTTGTATTTTTAGCAGAGAGGTGGTTTCGCCATGTTGGTGAGGCTGGTCTCAAACTCCTGACCTCAGGTGATTCGCCTGCCTCAGCCTCCCGAAGTGCTGGGATTACAGGCTTAGGCTTGAGCTACCATGCCTGGCCAAGCCAGGCTTTAAAATTCATTCTGTATTCTTTAAATTCTACATTAAATTTTACTATTAATGTTGAATTTAATAGTATGAAGCTAATTAAATTATTCAGCTTCATAGTTTGCTACAACAATGTGTTTTTACAAGACAAACTACAGTTCCACTTCTTAGAAGACTGTATGGTACAAAAACAATGTACAAGAGTTTGGGTCATAACAATTTACTTTTCTATTTCTCTAATTTTCTGTTTATATATTTTGAGACAGAGTCTTGCTCTGTCACTCAGGCTGAAGTGCAATGAGTGATCACAGCTCACTGCAGTCTCAACCTCCTGGGCTCAAGTGATCCTCCTGCCTCAGTTAATTTTTAATTTTTGTAGATTACGGGTTGGGGAGGGGGTCCTTACCATGTTGACTAGGCTGGTCTTGAACCCCTGAGCTCAAACAATCCTCCTGCCTAGGGTTCCCAGTGTTGGCATGACAGGCATGAGACACAGTACCTGGCGAATTTCCCCGATTGAACCACTTTAGGGAGCATTTCAGGCTTATAGGTCTTTCCTCTGCTAGTTATAAAGCAAGATCCAGGGGGTCATTCTAGGTTTATCGAAAATCTCTCCTCCCTAGACAATGACGGGATAGAGGAAGAAAAAGCAGGCCCCTTAATTAGAGGCACATTTTTAATGCTGGCTTTAAATTCCCAGTCACGTGTTTTAAGCAAGATTTGAAATTCCTTCTGAAGATTTTCACTCCAGAGAGCGCTCTAAACCAAAATGGGAAACTGAGGCTAAGATTCCAAGTACCTTCACACCGCAGATACAGTACAAGGACACGGAAGAGCGGAGACCGCGGACAATGAAAGCCGGCATAAAAGTTGGAGGAGAGAAGGCAGAACGAGCAGGCTGCCTTGGGAGACGGACTCAGGGAAGCCAGCAGGGCTTGAAGAGCAGCTTCCCGAGTCCGTGGGAGTTAAGCCGCAGTTCAGCCCCCCGACCCTCCCTCAGCTCGAGTCTTCCCGCCCCTGCTAGTTAGCCCGAGGACCCCGGCGCCGCCCAGGCCCGCCTTCCCCACAGCCCCCGCCACTTCTTAGAGAAAGGCTGTGATCGGGGCAAAGATGTGGTCCAATGGCTCACAGGTCCCCAATGGGCCAAAGTTGCCCTAAAACCCGGGGGAGTGGCCTTGGCCTCCGCCCCCCGGCCCGACCCGGCCGTGCCAGGCTTTACCTTGAGTGCCAGGTGATGGACGCGGCCCAGGCCAGGCTCGGCCAGCAACTGCAGTAACCCCAACATCGGGAGCAGCCGGAGGCCCGCGGCCAGCCGAGGACGGCGGGAGCCGGAGGAGCCGACGGGCGCCAGAGCAGCCATGTTTGTTCCAACATCACCAGCCTCTTCCTCTCCCGCCCACTTCCGGGGTTAAAGGGCGCAGCCGCCGGAAAGGCCTGGGGAGTGGGGCGCGGCGGCTGGTTCGGCTGACCCTGTGGTGGTTTTTCTGGAGAGTGAGACCTGGGAAGTCGCTGAGGGGCCTGTGCTGGCCACCTCGGGGCCCTTCGATTGGCCCCTGCTGTGCAAACTTTAGGTTTAGCCCGAAGACATGAAGTCCCCCTTTCTTGGCGGTTGCCATAACAACGGTGGCCGAGCTGGACCAGCCCGGGCCTCACCTCCGCCTCGCAGAGCTTTGGAAACGCCCTTGGGCTCCGGGGACCCCTGACCTCAGGATCAGGGGATACGCTGTGTCAGCCGCACGGTGTCCGGCCACTGACTAACTGATTTCACCGAGCATTGACTCGGAGGAAAATAATCAGAAAATTCCCGGCTCGTCGTAGGGGTCCTTTGGTTTTTTCCAGGCTCTTCACACTTAAGTATCAGGCGAAATGGTTGCAGTAATAATGATTTATTGAGCCCTTATGAGGAAATTCGTTAGGCCTTTTGTTGCATTTAATTCTTGGAACAATTTGATGAGCTAGGAGGTATCCCTACTTTACAGGTAAGCAAACTGAGGCTCTGAGAAGTAAGTCATTTGCTCCAGGTTAAGCTGGAGTCACTCGGAAGCTCTTAACTCCTGTGTTCTGTTCCCTCATGCTGTTTCATCCAAGCCCTAGAGTCTGGGCCTTAACATTTTAATCTTAATTCTGTATGGAAACTTTCTTTGCTTCTTTTACAATCTATAGGAACTTCTTTAATGGACGGATTCAGTAGTGAGCCCCCTCCTACTCACCATTCTTTATCAAGGAGTTATAGAAGAACATGCTTATTAAAATTGCTGGTAGTCTAGCCAGGTTTATTTCGTTTTCAGATTCTTGTTTAGCTTGCCAGGCAAGCAATGCATGCTTTTTTTGTGTAATCACTTGAAGGAGGGGAAAATAAAAGCCACGAGGAATCCCACTACCAAGTAACTGCCAGAGGGCCTTAAAGTTTGTAACTGAAACTAGGAACCGAAACGAATGATATATTTTAATGGTGCTAAGGTTCTATACACTCCGGGTGAAATAATCAATCGGGAAAGTACAGAATGGTGGAGGATGGAGAGGAGACAAGGGAGGGTCCTTTATTTTTTTCAGTTGTGTTGAATCTTAGTGAAAGGCATGAATCTGTGGATTCTTCTCTTGTTTTTTGTTTTTGTTTTGTTTTGTTTTGTTTTCAGAGTAAGTCTTTCTCTGTTGCCCAGGCTGGAGTGTAGTGGGTATCTTGGCTCACTGCAACCTCTGCCTGCTGGATTCAAGCAATTCTCCTGTCTCAGCCTCCGGAGTAGCTGGGATTCAGGCACTGGCCACCACACCCGACTAATTTGAATTTTTCCCTTGATTCAAAAACCAATACAAGTTCTGTCACACTCTCTGCAAGACAAAAGTAGGGCACCACGATGGAGCCAGGAAGATTGTAGTTTATTGTAAAATACCTGTGATCGTCAAGAGAAGGGTAATGATTACTTGGTGGAGAGTATCCCCTTTCTTCCCCAACCTCTGATCTTTGGCTATATGTTACAAATATGGACTCTTAAATGTTTGAACAGAATTTCCATCTGATTCTACTACCTCCCTTTTACAGATAAACTGAGAATAAGAAACTAATTATTGTTTTGTGAATACACACAGGAAGATAATAGATTTATTTACTAAGTAATTAAATATGCTAAGTATTCTGTTAAATATTTTATATGTACATTAACTCAGTTAACATCACAAAAATCTTATTAGGTATATTTTTATTCCCTTTTTTTTCTTTTTCCAGATGAAGCTTAGTTAGGTTATGTAATTTATTCAAGGATGGTCTGCTTATTTGCAAATGACCTACCTGGAACCTTCATCCAGACCCTGCCCAGCTTATAATCTCTGTTCTGAATTGTTGTAAGGAAAAAACATTTGCATATTAGGCTGGAAGGGTCCTTAGAAAATCAACACACCCATCCAACTTATTTAACAGATGTGAAAACAAATCCAGGAAACTTAAATAACTTACTCAAGATCACACAACTGATTGATTGGGTAATGTTCAGCAAGCATCTTTAAAACCAGGACTGGAATCTCAGCTGCATCAGAGTTGGATCTGTACTTCTTGAACTTTACCACACATGGTTAATTTTTACCATTTAAATTTTCTAAAGAGATAAAAACCTAGAGACTGAGTAACCAATATGTTATCTAATGAAATGCTGGAGAAACTTTTAGAAAGCATTTTTTTTATTTATTTATTTATTTAGGGACGGAGTTTCGCTCTTGTTACCCAGGCTGGAGTGCAATGGCGCGATCTCGGCTCACCGCAACCTCCGCCTCCTGGGTTCAGGCAATTCTCCTGCCTCAGCCTCCTGAGTAGCTGGGACTACAGGCACGTGCCACCATGCCCAGCTAATTTTTTGTAGTTTTAGTAGAGACAGGGTTTCACCGTGCTGACCAGGATGGTCTCGATCTCTTGACCTCGTGATCCACCCGCCTCGGCCTCCAAAAGTGCTGGGATTACAGGCTTGAGCCACCGCGCCCGGCCTAGAAAGCATTTTAAAATCAGCAATATGCAAGAATAGTAAGAATGTAAAAGAAGAGATTTTTTGTTTTGTTTTGTTTTGTTTTGTTTTTTTTGAGACGGAGTCTCACTCTATCACCAGGCTGGAGTGCAGTGGCACGATCCCGGCTCACTGCAACTTCTGTTTTCTGGTTCCAAGCAATTCTCCTGCCTCAGCCTCCTGAGTAGCTGGGACTACAGGCATGCACCATCACGCCTGGCTAACTTTTTATACTTTTTAGTAGAGACAGGGTTTCACCATGTTGGCCAGGATGGTCTCGATCTCTTGACCTCGTGATCCACCCGCCTCGGCCTCCCAAAGTGCTGGGATTACAGGCGTGAGCCACCGCGCCTGGCCTTGTTTTTGTTTTTTTGAGACAGAGTCTCACTCTGTTGCCCAGGCTGGAGTGCACTGGCACGATATTGGCTCACTGCAACCTCTACCTCTCAGGTTCAAGGAATCCTCCTGCCTCAGTCCACCTAGTAGCTGGGATTACAGGCATGCGCCACCACGCCCAGCTAAATTTTATATTTTTGGTAGAGACGGGGTTTTGCCATATTGGCCAGGCTGGTCTCAAACTCCTGACCTCAGGTGATCCTGCCTCAGCCTCTCAAAATACTGGGATTACAGGCGTGAGCCAGCATGCCTGGCCAATATTTTCTTGAAACAGTGAAGACCGTGGATTCTCACTTTATTATGAAACTAAATGTTAAAGGGAAAGGTGATTTTTAAGTGCAATTTCATTTTCAAACGCAGTTTGCAATGCTTTGGAGTTCTTTTTTTTTTTTCGAGGTAGAGTCTCACTTTGTCACCCAGGCTGGAGTGCAGTGGCGTGATCTCGGCCCACTGCAGCCTTCACTTCCCGGGTTCAAGCAATTCTCCTGCCTGAGCCTCAGCTAATTTTTGTATTTTTAGTAGAGTCGGGGTTTCACCATATTGGCCATGCTGGTCTCCAACTCCTGACCTCAGGTGATCCACCCACCTCTGCCTCCCAAAGTGCTAGGATTACAGGAGTGAGCCACCGTGCCCAGCCCACTTTGGAGTATGTTTTATCTTTTAAAGTTAGGTGTCATCTTTGAGAATCTCTGGTTTTAAATTAGAATATAACACTGTACTACAAAATGAGGCTGGGCACAGTGGCTTGTGCCTGTAATTCCAGGACTTTTGAAGGACAAGGTGGGTGGATCACTTGAGGTCAGGAGTTAGAGACCAGCCTAGCCAACATGGCAAAACCTCATTTCTATAAAAAATACAAAAATTAGCCAGGTGTCACGGTGCACACCTGTAGTCCCAGCTTCTCAGGAGGCTGAGGCAGAAGAATCACTTGAACCTGGGAGATGGAGGTTGCAGTGAGCTAGGATCGTGCCACTGCACTCCAACCTGTACAACAGAGTGAGACTCTGTCTCAATAAGGAATAAAAGGGTGGGCATGGGGGCTCACTCCTGTAATCCCAGCACTTTGGGAGGCCAAGATGGGTGATCATGAGGTCAGGAGATAGAGACCATCCTGGCTAACATGGTAAAACCCTGTCT